TGATTGATATCGTATGTACCAAGTAATCGAATGCTAATACAACGAGCTCAGTATGTCACTGACGAATCGCTGTATGTATCACTGAATCACTTGATTGTGGATCTATCTACTGTATACGTACACGAGATATCTTCATAGCCGCTCTAGTTTATAATTCAGCGGTGGCGCTGCCACTAGTGGACGTTATTTTTCGAGGAAATCAAAGCGTGGGAAAAATCCATTCCGCTTGTTTTCGTCCATGGTTAGCCTGTGGTATTATTGGTCGTTTGATTGGCCTTTTACGAGATTGGAGTCACAATGGAAACTGTAGTTGGATCAGTATCATGTGATCCCTTTTCATCAAATGTAATTTAGGAAAGTATCGGCTCGGTTGCGTGTGTTTTCTCCGCGTCACTATTTTTCCTCACTCACGAAATCCCATTTATACACGACATCTCGTCGGGGTCACCAGTTTAGAGTATGGTTTATTCGCAAGGAAATATTTTTGCTGATTAGGCTGTACTTACTCCTTTAGATGTTAATCATGAGAGCTGATGAAGAGGAACGTACCCAGACTGGTATTGCGCGGAATCGATTCACTACGACGTGCATTAGAACTCTTTTTGTTTCTTGCATATAGGGAAATCTTCATAGACACTCCGCTCTTCTTGGGGAAGGACCCGGTAGTACCGGATTCTTACCGGCTAAAACCCTACACGACGGTCCACCTCGGCGCGTAGAAAGAGGAGACAGGGAACTCTTGTTGAAAACGACCCCCAGCTCTATCCCAGGTAGTTGTGAGGAGGCTTGTGCCGTGCCACTCTTACTGCCTGTATGGCTTCGACGCAGGATGTAACCACACTATTCTGCGTCCCCAACCCTTGCTGCCGGAACCCCGTGTTCGCATTTCGCCGTCCCGTCATTCCCTCTGTCTCCAGAGGAGCGCCATCGCGCAAGCAGCTTCTGCTGCGCATGCATCTTTACCACCGCAGCGCCTCCGCCGTTCCCCAGCCCCCTAGTGCCAACATAAACTTCCCGGCTTCTAAGGGCCTAGAGCTCGAACGGGAACTCCGCAAGGAACTTCGCCACAGCCCCAGAAATTGTGCGGTATCCCCTCACAATTCTGATGGCAGTCATGCCGTGCACCCTCCTAATTAATAAGACGCTGTGCTGGGATGCCATCCATCAGATTCCCTCCCCCCCTCCCCCTCCCCAAATAAAAGCATCGTATAGAAGCTTGCTTGCGATCATTCCCGTACAGACTCGTATTCGCCGTCACCTCCGCCCGAAGGACCAGGCAGTCGAAGTGTGCCTAAAAGGACTAGGTGCTGAGCCCCAGATATTTAATTTAGATTTCCGATCCTGCAACCCTAATTACCCTCCCAGCAAGAGAGTCTCCCCACCGAGCCGTATGGGAAATCCACATGGCTTTGGTTTTTTGGGGAGACATCTCGAGCCTCAGTTCCTTGATCGCATTACCACCACTAGCTCAGCAAGGCGGATTGTCCTTCGCCGCACTCCCAGACGAGCACCAACGTGTCATCCGCATAGCACGTCAGCACTACATTCGGGAGCAGCGGTATACGCAACACAGCATGTGATGTCACACAGGGCTCAAGGACTGATCTCTGCGGCATTCCACGCTGAATCGCCCTCCTCATTCGCCAACCTCCTATCCCGACTGAAGAACACGACCGTCCTGCTGTCGAGGTATGCCCTGGTAACTTTCCTTAGATACAGGGAGACCTGTTGGAATTCCGCCCTACCCTTCCGAATAGATTTCACAGAGAGCAATCTGACATCGCGTCAATGCGATCGTCCCCTAGAAGGAAGTTGTATTGCCCCTTGTTAAGTCCTGGCGTTCCCCGGTGTGCTACAAGGCGGGCAGTTATCATTCTTTCAAATAGCTTACTCGCCTCGTTCAATAAGCACAGTGGCCTGAGGGCGACCTATAGCCGGCGGCCGGCCCTCTTTCGGGAGAAGGACCATCCGCCCTACCTTCCAGACACGCGAGAATTCGCCCTAGGCCAAGCATCTGTCATACAGGCCTGTTCGTCTGGGAGCGAACTCCTCGTATACCCCCCTCCATATCCTTGCTAGGACAACCCTGGTCACTTCCTCGTTAGACACCTCCAACTCCGGAGACCAATCATCAACCACGCCCGGTGGGTAAAGCATAGGCAGTCTCGCCTCTTCTCCCAAGGTGGGTTGGAAAAGGCCTTCCACAACGTGCATTAGAACTACAGACTTACTATTCCTCGGCGTGTTGAAGTTCTTTCTGACTTCCTTTGTGTCCTTCTTGATCAATTTTTTTTTCCCCTCTTTGCTTGATGTTTATTTTGTGCAGTGCCCGAGGCTTGCCCTGCCCTATTACTTGCATTTAAAGTAACGGGATTAGGTATGTGATGGTTGTGTGTTTCTATTGTGTCCTATTGGTAGTAACGTTGTGTATGCAAGAAAAATTTCAAAAAACCTGCCTATCCATATAAAGTTTCAGAATGTAAGTTCATATAAGTGCTGCCACGTGCTTAGCGAGCCTTACTTTTATCTTAAGTGGTAGTTCTTGGATGTTGTATTTTTCTAATTGCTAATTAATGGATTGTTGTGAGTGTGGTCATATGCTCGTGAGACTGTATGTATTCGTT